GGGGGCGCGTGTGCCTTTTTTTCTATGGCTGTGTGTGCGCTCGTGCCATTAAACCGCTAGTATACGGCCCCAGCGTTGCAGAAAGTTTTTGTCGCCACAGGCAAACCTCGGAGGCGCTGCTCGGCCAGGCCCACCATTGAAAAAAAAAAATGGTGGCCTCCGAAGTGGTGCGGTTTTTGTGCTGACACCCGCGGGCCGATATCCGACATGGTACCACCTAATCCACACAGGACCACCCTGTGCGCATAGTATCGATTTATGCGTGCTATCCTTGCACAAGGCAACACTAATCTTCTCTACATCGTTCCAATTTTAACGGATGTCCCAAAGGACCAGCTGCATAGGGTCACCCAGCCCACCAATATATGAGCAGGTCCCCCGCTGTGTTAACGTTATCATTTTTATCCCCAAGGAAAACCAGCAGGTCTCCCGTCCCAGTGCCCTGCGTGGCAGGCGGAACTGAGCCCCAGCCCGCTTAAAGATCAATACTCAGCCTCCTGGTACATTTCTCAGACTTCAGCTTTTTCCCGATGATACGCCATGGCTGAGGAGGGGAAGGAACAGAGGAGACCCTGGTGGGCCCCGGAGCCTCCCTGTCCTCCCGCTCTCGCTTGTCACAAACATACTTATATTTTGTCTTTCTGAGCCGAAGCCGGGTAGTGGCCCCAGTCTGTTTTCATGTACCCCTTTGGGATGGTGGATCTGGTTTCCAGCAGGTGCTGCTCCCCGCCAATAGACTGGAGCAACCAGCAGTGTCTCTACTAGAGGAAGATGCTCGTCTCTCTCTCCCTAGCAAGCCCACGCTCGCTCCCTCACCCGCTCTCTCTCTCTCTCTCTCTCTCTCTCTCTCTCTCTCTCTCTCTCTCTCTCTCTCTCTCTCTCTCTCTCTCTCTCTCTCTGGAGCAACCACAGATAGAGAAGGCATGTATGACCTTGACTGTAGTGTATGGATTCACAGAGCCTCCAAGAGGCAGTAGTGTGGCACTCAAGATTGTTTCTTCTTCCAGTGTCGTTTTTGCAGAATGGAGGAGTATCAGAAGACACAATTGCAAGAGCTTTTGCAATCACTGAGAAGGCTTATACCAGCATTGTTCGAGAGTCATTCAAGACATGTCCCCATCTGGCCACCGTGGGATCCTGTGCCCTGGGTGCTATGATCAGTGGAAATACACTATACGTTGCAAACCTAGGCCACAGCCGGGCTGTCATGGGGCGATGCACGGTATGTTTCCCTCCGTTTTGTCCATCTTTGCCTGCTTCACTCAGTTTGACCCTGCCCCAAGCTCCCCGTTCCCCTGTCCCTCGCGCCCCAATATGTATGTATGTATGTAGGTAGGTAGGTAGGTAGGTACGTAGGTATGTACGTATGTATGCATGTATGTATGTAGATTGTCTACTTAGCAGTCAATCTCTTAGGAACATTCAATATGCATGTATGTATGTAGATTGTCTACTTAGCAGTCGATCTCTTAGGAACATTCAATTCCAGTGGTAAGACAATGACAACAGTATGGATTAGCGAGTGCCATATTCAGTGGACTTTCCCACTACAACTAGGTCTGGTCTTTTCAACAGAAAAAGCAACTGTCAGATTTTCTGAGTTTTCCTCCTCTGTAATGACCTGACCAAACACGGACTGAGGCACACAGCTGATTTCTGAGTTTTGCTCACAGAATGAATGCCTTGCTGAGTTTCCCTCTTGTTACTGAGTTCTCTAAGTCTGCGTGCGTGCACGCTTGCTGGTCTGCATGCCTGCTTGAGTGCTTGTCGGCTTGAGCGTGTGTTACGTGCTGCGCCTGCAACAGGCTGCACGGGCCATTTTCAGACCCATGTCGTTTTCAGCCTGAAAGCCTGAAAACAAGGGCCTACAGGCCCTGTGTCGTTTCAGCCTGAAAGCCTGAAAACAAGGGGCTACAGGCCCTGTGTCGTTTCAGC